TTCTTGCAGCTAAATGGATTTCCAGATCCATGAGTCAGGATACAAGTGTACTTTCTAGTGTAAGGTAGCAATTTTTCAGCTAGGTGCAGTGGCGCACACCTGTAATCCCAACGCTTTGGGAGGCTGAGATGGGCAGATCACCTGAGGTCAGGGGTTCAAGGCCATCCTGGATAACTTGCTGAAATCCCATTTCTACGAAAAATACAAAAATTAGCTGGGTATGGTGGCGTGCACCTGTAGTCCCAGCTACTTGGGGGTTGAGGTGGGAAAATCCTTTGAATCTGGTAGACAAAGGTTGCAGTGAGTAAAGATCGTGCCATTGTACTCCAGCCTGGGCAAGAGAGGAAGGCTATCTCAAAAAATAAAAAAAAGGTAGCAATTTTTCATTGACCCTACTCTCAGAAAGAAGGATACAATACATTGGAAATACTGTATTTCATTGAATCTTTAATGCCACTGATTATAAGATGTATTATTATTTTCTGTATTACTAAGAAAGAAAAATGCTTAATATTGAACTGACAGGCCATTGATTATAAAATGCAACCCAATTTCAAAGATGTTAATATGAAAAACTGTGTAGCTTACACTTGAGTTATAGTAATATAACCAACCACCTTAAATTTACATAAGACTTTGTAGAAAGCATTTATACATGTGTCATCTGATCTTATCCTCAAACTAAAACTAATCTGTGAGGTGGATTAAATTATCTCATTTTCAGATGAAGAAGCTGAATTTCACAGAGATTACATATTCTCTCAGCATTGTATTCTAGTGAACTAGGATCTCAGGCCCACATATTTTTACTCTGACTTGTGGTAGATTGATGGTGTCACCTCCTCTAACCCCTTACATATACAACTACACAGCTATAAAATTATTTGGCCTAGATTTTTCTATTTCAAAAATAGACTTTGCTATTTTTCATATGCTGTTCATATGCCTTGATTTTTTTGACAGTTTTGAATGCTGTTAACATGGTTAATGTATGTTTTAATATTAAATAATGTGTGACTCTGCTAATATATGAATTGTTTTGATCCTGGGTTACCTGACCTCTGGGAAGCTATATATAATATCATTGGTGGTTTTATCTGTTTCCATCTGACTAGGTGGGAAGCTATATATAATATCATTGGTGGTTTTATCTGTTTCCATCTGACTAGGTAAAATATTCAGGAATGGTTATGAATTAAGATCCCGAAGTGATCCAGAGAAGGCTGATTAAGTGTTTGTGTCTATAATAGCTGTACTGTTCTTGTTGAATCAAGGTCATATCCTCTTCATTTCCAGGTGGTGGCTAATGCTGTAGCAGCATTATCTGAAATCAGTGAGTCTCACCCAAACAGCAACTTACTCGATCTGAACCCACAGAACATTAATAAGCTGCTAACAGCCCTCAATGAGTGCACTGAATGGGGCCAGATTTTCATCCTGGACTGCCTGTCTAATTACAACCCTAAAGATGATCGGGAGGCTCAGAGGTCAGTCTGTTTTCCTGGCTACTTTCTGGTAGTCTTGTAAGTTCTAGAGTCTGCTATTAGAATAAATCTGTTGAGGAAGGTCAGTGGCTTCTGGGGTAGCTACTGCTATCTCCAAGGTATTCTCTCCCTTAGGATTTAGGAATATTTTAAGTGGTGGAATAAACTGTGCAAAACTGTTTTTAAGAAATGTATGTTTTTCATACAGTTACTTCTGCTGAAATCTCTCTCATCGTTTTGCATCTCCTATGCAACAGTTCTTGGCCATTTGGCCAACAAAGATTATCGAGTATCCCTCTTTGGGGTGATAGATTTTTCATTCTATTAGATACATAGAAAGTGGCTTTATATTAGTTATTGAGCTGAAGTGTATCTATAATTCAGTATGAGAGTATGTTAAAGTTAGTACAATATATCCTGCTTTCCATTAGATGTGGAAACCATGTCAGTCTGAATTTAAAGATTTTAGAAGGCACACCTAGATTGTTCTGCTCGGCCTGTCACCATATAATGTTTCAAATTTTCTTTGGTTATTAGAAATTGACTTCTAAATTTCATCTACACATACATATATTTTATGTGTGTGTGTATACACACACACACACACACACACACACACACACGTATGTATATATAGTTTACAAAGTTGGAATTATCCCTAATTTTTATTGAGCATTTTGTATATGTAGGCACTGTACTAGGCAAAGTACTTCTGAAGAAATGTTGGCTCTTCATTAAAGTTGGTATATTTTAATTATGGTAGATAAGAACTGGTCTGGCTGAAGCTGATTTCCAAGCTACTAGAATGTAAGTGATCTTCACTTATCTGGGAAATTGTTCCCTCTAGACTGAACTAAAGCTCACTCTGATAGTTTCTTTCCATCACTGAAAGTACAAATGTAGTCTGGAAATTACTGAGAATTTTATTTTCTGTTGGCCATTGACGTTGCATTCATTCATTCATTCATTCATTCAGCAAATATTTATTAAGTGCATACTGTATGCCAGGCGGTATTCCTAGGCCCTCAGGATATATCATTGAACAAAGTCATGGCCCTCACTTATTCTGAAGGATGGGGTAGGAATGTATATAATATGTATAGATAGTATGATATGTAATATGTGAGATGGTGATAAGTACTAACAAGAAAGGTAAAGTGGAGAAGAAATCTAAGAAATGCTGGGCATTTGGGGGTAAGGGGTTGTATTTTCTTTTTAAAGAATGGCCAGGGAAGGCCTCATTGAGAAGGTGGCATTTGTATAAAGACCCAAAGGAAGTTAGGAGTAGGTATGGGCGGAAGAGAGAAACACAACCTGCTTATCTTGTTTCTTTAATACAGTAAGCTAGCTACTTATGTTGCCTAAGCCATCAATTAGATTAATTTCTAAAGGATCCTCAACAGGTAATTAAATATCTAAGATTTTATGAGGCATGTAAGTGTAGGTGGCAGGGGCTAGGAGAGGTGGGAAAATACAGTAGTGGTGTCCTGCTATTTAAGAAATAAACACTTTTCAGAGAGTCCCTTATTCTCGTTATCCTCAAAACGGGGGGTTGGATTGTTTTCCCTGCCAACCTACCTCCTCCTGTATCTTACAGTGAAACCTTCAGTCACAGCTGGGTTGCTGTCTCTTCCTATGAAATAATTCTCAGAATGCTTAATTTGACTTCCTATAGGTTGAGTAGAAATGGGCTGTGAGGCAGGGAGCCCTAACATAATATGGGGAGACAGAGGACTATAAAACAAGAAGGTAAATGGTGTGAGCTCAAGTGTTTTGAGTATTGCTAGTTTCTTTCCAGTTTGAACATCCCTTATTGCTGGTTTCCTGAAATTTTCTGATGTCCCTGCTCTGCCTGTAGTTTGCTGAGAATGAGGCTTCTGCAGTGTTGGATTCCAATTTTATCTAAGCATGGAGCTTTGATTTTTCTGACTAATTCTTTAATTTCTTGATACTTGGGCCATTAGACTTTGACATTTACCTTATGGAATATATTCAACAAAGAAATTATAATTCATGATGTTAATTTTCATTCTCTGCCCTCAGTATCTGTGAGCGGGTGACTCCCCGGCTATCCCATGCCAACTCAGCAGTGGTGCTTTCAGCAGTAAAAGTCCTAATGAAGTTTCTAGAATTGTTACCTAAGGATTCTGACTACTACAATATGCTGCTGAAGAAGTTAGCCCCTCCACTTGTCACTTTGCTTTCTGGGGAGCCAGAAGTGCAGTACGTCGCCCTGAGGAACATCAACTTAATTGTCCAGAAGAGGTTGGGAAATACTGAAGTGTTGACTAAAGTGTTTGTAATTTTGCATTAAGCTTAATAATGTCAATGTTAAATTAAGCTGGTTTTAATCTTTTTTTAATATATGGAAATGAAAATGTTATATGGCAGATCAACTTGCTTGCCTAGCATCCGGAGGCCAACAGTTGATATCACAGTATTTCTATAATGAATACCAGGTATTGCTTCACAATCTAGTTTGTTTTCTGAAGGGTCTCTTTCTGATATACTGTCTAGTGCCTGGTTGTTATGGTTCAGGCTGTAGTTTAGAGCCAGATTGTTGTTCTTCTAGCAGTTCTTCATGACAACATGTGCCCTGATGCTTAAAAAGGATAAAAATAATCTGCCAAATGGAACTGATAAGAATAGAGGCGTATAGAGGAAGTTTATGCATTTTTTTTTTCCTGAGTAGAGCAGGAGGAGAACAGAGAAGCACAGATTAGGTATTAATAGAGTCTCAGAAGGGTATATCAGCATATGCCTTCACCTTCCTTTCTTCTGTTTCTGTGTACTTCAGGCCTGAAATCTTGAAGCAGGAAATCAAAGTCTTCTTTGTGAAGTACAATGATCCCATCTATGTTAAACTAGAGAAGTTGGACATCATGATTCGTTTGGCATCTCAAGCCAACATTGCTCAGGTTAGACTTTTTGCAGACTTAAGTTGATGAAGATTTAGCTCTTAAGGTCTGGTCTTTAAAGAAGCTAAGCTGTGAGATTGCTATATGAGAATCCTTAATGATGAACCTTCCTGGATTTTTTTTTTTAACAGGTTCTGGCAGAACTGAAGGAATATGCCACAGAGGTAGATGTTGACTTTGTTCGAAAAGCTGTGCGGGCCATTGGACGGTGTGCCATCAAGGTGGAGGCAAGTATCTGATGGTAGTTATGATCACATATTGGGGATTCTGAGAATTCTATTCACTTTTTTTTTTTTTTAAGAAATGGAGTTTTGCTCTTGTTCCCCAAGCTGGAATGCAATGGCACGACCTCAGCTCACTGCAATCCACTTACCTCAGCCTACCAAAGTGCTGGGATTACAGGTGTGAGCCACCATGCCCGGATCACTTTTTTCTTTAAAATACATTTTTAAGTTTATCGAAATTACAAAGCACGTAGTTTAAATGTTAAATAATTTTTAATGGAAAGCAGCTGTCTCTGGTTCCTCCCTTCCCTGCCTACCTAGACCCTCTTCCCAGAGGGAATAATTTTTAACTCTTTTTGTTTTTAGTTATTCTCTTTTTTTTTTTTTTTTCCTGTCAAATGAGTTGGTTTAATTTCAGGTGATACAAAGTTTAGGGTTGAACAAGGACCAAAGGGCAGACTCTGGCAAGATTCTGAGCTGATTTTACTTTAAATTCACATTTATGGTAGGACTGACTTAGTGAAAACAGCTAAATTATGAGCCACTAGAAGATTTTTTTTTTTTTTTTTAACAAAAGTTTATTTTAAAATGTACAACAGCTCCAAGACAACACTTAATGCCGTCTACAGGAGGCAAAAAGTGTTATGGCAGGGAATACAGATGTTTAAATATGGATGAAATAAGGGGTCACTGTCTCCTCAGGCACAAGGAACAGCTTATTTTTTTTGCCAGATTTCTTAATTCCACCTGTGGCCAGGGGCCCCTTCCCCACGGCCTTCGCTTTTAGCTCTTCGAGTTTCTTCTGCTCCTTTTTTTGTTTCTGCTTGAAAGCCTTATCTTCCTCATCCATCTCCTTGGCCTGCTTCTTGGGCCTTTTCAGGGGCTTTTTCTTGCCACCTTTTCGGCGGGACATGGTGCCTGCCGCCCCTTTCTCAGACCTTGCCACCAGAAACGGGGGCTTTTAGTTATTCTTTTGATTATAATAGGTCCTCCATATCCATGAATTCCACATCCATGGACTCAACTAACTGTGGATCAAAAATATTCAGGGGGAATAAAAAGGATGGTTTTGTCTGTACTGAACACGTACAGACTTTTTATTTGTCTGTATTCCCTAAGCAATAACTATAACAATTATTTATATAGTATTTTAGGTATTAGAACTAGTCTAGAGATGATTTAAAGTATACAAGAGGATATGCATAAGTTATATGCAAATACTATACCATTTTATGTTAGGGTCTTTAAGCCTCCATGGATTTTGGTATCCACAAGGGGCCCAGGAACCCATCTCCCATGGATATGGAGACATGACTGCACTTCCATATCTCTAAATAATATTCTTGGCTGGGTACAGTGGCTCACACCTGTAATCTCAGCACTTTGGGAGGCCAAGGTGGCAGGACTGTTTGAGCCCAGGAGTTTGAGACCATAGTCAGGCTCTGTTTCTACAAAAACTTTTAAAAATTAGCTGGGCATGGTGGTACACACCTGTAGTCCCAGCTGCTTGGAAGGCTGAGGCAGGAAGATTGCTTGAATCTAGGAGGTTGAGGCTGTAGTGAGCGGTGATTATGCCACTGCACTCCAGCCTGAAACCTTTTCACTCTGGGTAAAAGAGCAAGACCCTGTCTCAAAAAAAGAACAATAACAGTAATAATATTCTTATGCTATTATTTATTGATTTACCTATCATAGACTTTTTCTATTAACTTTCTGCTATAAGAAGCTTAGTTCATACAACCCACCATTTCTACTTCTCCCTTCTATTTTCCAGTGTAATTACATAATGAAGGTTTTTGTTCCTACATCCACTATCATGGTAGATTGAAATAATATGCCTTTGTTTCTTATTCTATCAACTATTGGCTTGCAAAATTTATGCATATTATAACTAAATATTTAGGGCCAATATAATGCGAACGATTATATTATAGTATCTTTTGTTTTTTACTGGAGGGCTTGTTTTTTTTTTTTTTTTTT